GGTAAGGGAGGGGGTGGGGGCAGGGGGGAGAAATGAACCAAGCCTTGTATGCACATATGAATAATAAAAGAAAAATGAAAAAAAAAAAAAGAATTTCTCAATAAACACTTCAGGTTAAATAATCTGTTGCTGCTGCCTATCCTACACATTGCAGGATATTTAGCAGCATCCCTGGTCTCTACCCACTAGATGCTAATAGCACCAACATCCAAATTATGCCAACATGAATGTCTCTAGGCATAGCCAAATGTTCCCTGGAGGCAAAAATCACCCCAGGTAGAGAACCACTGCTATAGTTTATTGTCTTTTGGTCTAAACCTTCAACAACAGCAAAAGATGCTGTTCCCAAGTAGGTTCTCTCTGTGTCCATTAGAAATCGAGAAAGAAAACAACAATGATAATGACAAAGCAAATCAGAGATCCTGTCGATAAAAGCACTGGACAGTAAAGCTGAGCATTTTCTTCATTTAGTAACTGGGCACAAGAACTAGACCAGACTTACCTAAAACGCTGTGCCTGCTGAGCTAGCGGTCCTGGATACCTTCTGTTTGGAGACTGGTACAGCTGGGAAAGGATGGCCTGATTGGTTTTTTGGCTTGGATTATTAGCAAACTTTACAGTGATTGGCTCTGTGGCACCAGGAGGTTTCTGGCCATTTAGGCCTTTGATAGCTTCTTCTGCCTCAATCCGCTTGTCAAATCGAATAAACCCTACACCCCTTGATATGCCTATGGTAGATTTGAGCAGATTTGAGGAAAAGGGAGTAGAAGGAAAAGGGAAGAAGAGAAGAAAGGATAAATTAATTTTTCCTTCTTGAGAACATCTTTTTCACCTACATATTACATTTGCCACAAAACTCACATCAGGAGAAAAATTTTACCTTAACAATTTAGTCTAGAATCACAATTTTACATTTTTTATTACATGAAGTCACCTATACAATCTGAGTACTTATTATCAAATGCCTTCCATAAGCCACAAACCAAAAAGATGAGAAGACACAATTATGTACGTCCATGTTCTCTCGCTTGCTCTCTGACTCGCTCTTTCCCCCCACTTTCTCTTTCCCTCCCATGCACAATCTTTAATAATGTCAATGGCATGCCTGAGTTCCATTTTTCAAACTGTACTACTGGACAAGTAGCTTAGAAATGAGGGGCCTAATAGATCTTTCCTTTATAAGAACAGAACCAGGCATTTGCTAAAAAAAGCTAGGCTAGAAATACAGCCACTGTGGTAGAAAGATAAATTTCAGCTTAAATTTTAAGTAATACACGCAGCTTTATAATACTGTATAGGATATACGTCTTTTAAGAAAAAGAATGTCTGAAGAGGCTCTTCTGTGTCTCTGAAGCACCCCTATGCTTCTAACTACCTTCACTTTATATTAGAGAAGTAACAGTACATGGAGAAAAAGAAGTAAAAAAGGAGCTAGATTTTAAAAACAAGTCAGTAAGTAGGGCATCAAAGCTTTCTGGCCTCAGCGACATTACTTTTAACTATGGAAGGCTACTCCCTATGCATATTATCTTGAGGGACAAGAATGACAAAGCAGGAGGATGGCCAAGACCTTCCAAGCTTATGAGAAATGGCAGAGGGAAACCTACCTCACTCCATCTAATTAGCATGAAAAGGTTAGTGGGGGTGGCCATAGCTGGTCACTGAGATAAGCAGTTGCAGGAGAATGCTTCCTTGATAACCAAATAGGTACAAACTAGCAGTTGATTCAAATGACCTGGAGTATTCAGAGTATGGTGATAAAAGAGATGTATTAGACTGTCATGACTTAGAGGAACTTTAAAGAGAAATGAAGGCAGATTTGCCTTACAATTAGTATTCTATGTAAGGCCAATGGCCCAAAATTCTGTAAGGTAGCTAAGGCATTTTTTCCATGTGAAATAGCCCCTATTACTTTAACTTTTCTATTTAAACTGTATGGCCTTTGCACATAATTACTGCCTGATGGCTGAGTAACAAAATTGTAAGTTTCATTTTTTTCATTTCAGGTAAAGTGAGTAAGTGTTCCTTGAAAGCCATAAGTATGAAGACAGAATGATAGCAAATATATATCCTTTCAATTATCTACTAGCTTCTATTAAGAATTAATAACACCTAGGTTTGGCTGTTCCATTAGGAAAGCATTACATTAGCAAGAAATGGCCTTTATATTGTTTGAGTCACCTAAGCCAGTGGCCCTCCAACTTGAGCATGCATCAGAATAACCTGTGAGTAAAATGCCCATCCTAATAGTTTGGCTGACTAGGTTTTGGATGGGGCCCAAGAACTTGCAGTTCTAGCAAGGTTCTTGAAGGATGCTGATGCTGCAGGTGTGGGACAGTGCTTATGAATAACTCTCTAAACCACAGGATGGTGAACAAGGCCCTCCTGTGACACCCACCTGCTCTGGATGGACTGTCAGCTAAGCAATGAGATGGGCAATCCGTATCTATTCTCAACTTACTAAGTTCTTGATAAGAATGAATGAATTTAAAAGGGGATTTCTGTTGCAAGGAACAAATTTTACGTGGCTTTCTATGCTTAGTTTTCTATTAACCCCGTTAGTAGTCTGTGTGATACAAAATAGTGAGAGAGAACAGATGAGAAGGATTCTGAAATAACTACTGCAGCTAAAACCGTATGTTATGTACTCTCACTTGACTACATTTTCTCACGACAGCAAAATCTATAGGCTATTCTTCCAGGCATGTATAGTGGTAGACCTTGCTCTGCCAGAACTCTAAAGGGTAGCGCTTCCTAGGAAGCAAACTAACAGCACAGAGGGGCATAAAATAGGCTAGTCTGATCAAATTCAAATCATCTATATTGATCTCCACTTAAGGATTTAAAACTTAGCCTAATATCACTCTGGGCTTAATCTTTTTCTTTCTTTAAAAAAAAAAAAAAAGAACCACATTGGAAAATGTAAAATCTTAATGTGGCTGCTTGGGAATGCAGCACTCCAGGTAATCATTTTCTCCTCTTTACCATGTTTATGTATTTTAAAAATGCTTCTAAAAGAACAAGTGTTGCTTTTATAATAGAAAAATATGTCTGTACCTTATTCTGAAAATCCACAAATCTATATTGCCAGCTTTCTATTAACTAAAAGCTTTGGCAAAACTGCTAATTTACATGCAAAAGTTTTAATAAACACCTTACTCTTATCATCTTATTTTTGTCAAAAGTTACACTAAGCATAAAGTTTTAACACTGAAAATTTCATACTCATATACGCCAATACAGCACCAGCATGGACCTGGAAAACAACCTTGATAGCAATCACCAAAGTGGATGTAGTATAATCCTTCCTTAAGAGAACTAGCTGCATATGGCTGAACTAAACTTTGCATTTCACAAAAATAAGATTGTTTATTAGTACTTAGTAAGGAAAATGGGGGCTTTTTTCACACAGCAACTTGAAAATGAAGATTATAGCATCTATAAATTTATTACAAGCCAGAAAACAGGCTTCAAACCTGCACCTTCAGGGTGGAAATGACTCAACTTGCTCACTACACTCCACAATCTATTTTTGTCCATGCATATTTATGAACAATTCCAGCAGAAAATTGCATTTTCTGGCCCACATATACCTTTATGTGTTCTAGAGGCAAGACTGCTGTATGGGAAGATAGAATATTTCACAATCTGCCAGTCAAAGAGAGCAAAAGACTGTCCAGAACCACTGGCTACTTACCAGTGACCTGGTCAACAAGAATACGAGAAGTAATAATACGTCCATATTGTGAAAACAGTTGTTCCAACTCCTTCTGGGTCATTGTTTTTGGAAGCCCACTGACATATAAGTTTGCATCTCTGATAGAAGCTGAACTTGGACGAGCGTAAGAAACCTGGAAAAGGGAAATAAAATTAAGTGCCTATGCACATGCAGTCACCTCCTCTCAGAAACCCAAAGCCTCCCCTCAGTACTGCAAGGTGCATACAACAAACTGGCATTAATGTAAGCCAGTGCTAAGAGCTTAAGTCATTTCTGGGAACATTCTAGACAAATGGGAAGTGCTATTCCTCTGGGAGCAAAAGAGAAGGCATCTGTCACTAGGAGGTTTTTAAAGTTTTCAAAACAGAATAGCAGTGTACATAACAAAATAATGCTTGTGATAACAGGTTGTCCTCATAAGCCCAACTCCAAAGAAGAGATATGGAGTAAAGCTTTCCAAGTTTATGGGTTCTAAATTCATCACACACATTTTCATGATCTTATTTTCCAGCCCCTCCCATCTTTGAGGATGGTGGTGACATTTTTAAATATTTACCTTTAATCAGGAAGTGAGCCTTTATAATTTATGCCAATGTAACTTTCTCCCATAAATTTCCAGAAATTTAAATATGTGAATAAGCCACACCCTTCATTTTCCTTTGTCAATTATCTTCTTGTCTACAAGTCTTTATAACCTTGATTTTAACGTCTAGTCTTTCTAATGATTTTACCTGGCATTTAATGTGCTCTCAAAAAGCTTCCTATCTTTTGAGTTATAATATCTAAAATTCATTAAGCATAGAAGACACAGTCTGTTCACAGTCATTCCTCATGTCTCACTCATCACTGTGTCCTCAATGTCAAATTGATGCCGAGCATGTGAGGGATGCTAAGATATATTATGAGTAAAGCCTATCCAGTATCTCACTGATCCTACAGGTCCAACCACACCCACAGCTCATTAGGGCAAGCTCATTAAGTCATCTATTTCTCTTGCCTGAACTGTAATCAACAGCTCTTTTGTCCATAAACCATTCTCAGCCAGTATTTAAACAACTGTGGGTCCCAAGAACTAGTCCTGACCACATTCCCATTGGTTTAACTGTGAGCTCTTCTGTACTAGCCAACTGAACAGACAGAAATTTCACAATACATCCCATCTTCCACATCATTCATAAAAATAGTTAATATAACTATGGGATTGACTTGCCAGGGTAACATATGATTATTTCTGCATGCTCATTTTACCCATTAGTACCCACCTTCAATCTAGTGTATTACCACAAAAAAAGAACCTTGCTAAATCAACACTAATATTTAAAGAACTTTTAATATGAAAACACAAATATTTTCTCCTTGGTTTAAATTATGCCCACAGTGTAACTTTTTTTTTTAACTTCAGGAGGTAGGAAATTACATAGGCTGGGTTTAAATTACTTTATAAGTTTATAACTATCTTTCACCCCTGACCCAATCAACAGTGTTTACATTTACTACCTCTACCCTTTATTCAACCAGTTTCCTCATTAACAAGTAAAAATACACCAGCTGTATTTTTACTCGGATACTGTATTAGCACTGTCTTGTCCTACAGAAAGAAGGAATTTGGAATAGTGGTGGAAAAAAATTATTTACATACACTCTTTTTCCTCTATATCTAGGCACTTAAGAACAATGAAGATTGGGAGCTTACTGTAGGTGCAAAATAAGAAATGAAGGAAATTTTCAGTGATGAAAGTAATTTAATGTGGGGACTGCTGTAACTGCTAAACCATCCAGCCAATTAATTATATACAAATTCAGTGTATGTGAACAAATACCCAAGGTTCTTTTCCAGATCACAATTGTCATTAATCTAAGGAAGCTAAAACTCCCTCCCATCACTTGGCCTATATCTGTATCTAAGACTCTGAGTTTATTTCTGTACAGGGAGATTGAGAGGAAGTCAGACTCTGCTTTGGATTATGTGACTAAAGTGTTCCTGGTGTGAAGAGTCACTGCCCATGGGCAGCAGAGCTAGCATCTCAAAGAAGGCTAACTACCAATGGCTGGCAAAGCAGGCAGTGGAGGAATGGCAGTCTCTATATGAACATGTAATACGTTTATGATGACAGTTCTGTAATCAGTGTGCCTCGGTACAAAACTAGGTTCAATTCATGACAGGTTCTGTAAAGCTGGCACAAACTCTTTAAGCCTTCATTGTATGGTTATTAGGAATAATTAAATAATTCTAATGCATGTGAAATGCTTAGTAGAGTCTAAAAACCTAGGTGACTGCATTATAGATATTTACCTCTATGTGTGTATGAGTTTGTAGGTAAAGACCTAGACCTTTATAGTTTACAGTAAACTGAGTCTATTACAGTGTTCCAGAATAATTTACTCATGCAGTGACATTCATTGCATTTTCAGGTGGATGTGGGTAGAATGATTTAAAATTTCTCCATATATTTAGGAAAAAGGGCTTATATTTAGTTTTTGTGTAAAACTGAAAACATATGTCGGTCAGTTATGTCTTCCCTTTTTTTTTTCTTTCAATATTCAGTCTTCAGTTCACATTGCTTCTTTAATTCCAAGCCACATTAAAAGGGCTCCAGGACAAACTTCAAAACATTTTTTTAAGTAACTTTTGTCAAACAACTGGTTTCCATTACCATAGGCAGGACAGAGATGACTAAACTATAACAACTCATGGTGGTAACAACATATTTAACATTGAACTTACATTTAAGATTATAAGGATCTGTCATTTACATATAGTACCAGTATTCTGTCTGCACCCTGTAACCCCATGAGGCAGGTAGGGTATACATATGGTAATTTATGACTAAGGAAACAGGTTAAGATAAAGCAAATCAAATGCCTAAGGTTATACATAGCTAGTCTGATCTTCTTGGCTCCTTATCATTGTCTCCTCATTCAGTTTTCTTTCTACCATGTCACACTATGGTAACTAGCTTATCAGTTCACTTGTTCTGAAAGTCTGGAAAAATTAAGTGACTCTTGGCTGTTTCTTAAAACACATACAAACAGGCAAAGAAACTGAGCAGAGAGAGCAGAAAACAGGGTGTTCGGAAATTTCAGTTAACTCCAAAGTTACTTTATTTCCAGTAATGTTTTAAAGTAGCTTTTCCTGAGAAGATTGGTCACAAATTGAGAGTAACTGAAGAAACTGTGTAACAAAATTAAAATTAGTTTTATTACTCTTGTTCTTTGAAATAAGCAATGCTACCCCCAACCCACTTCTAGGAAGTTTTTAGGAAAGACACTTGCCCTGCCCCTCCTCCTAGACCTACCCACCAGGTGCAACCACTACACCTTTATTGTTTCTTGAGATTAGAAACAGGTCCTTTTCCTCTACTCTATCAAGGATATCACTACCACCAACATCCTTACTTCCAGAAAAAGGAAAACATGTCTTCTTTCATTTCAAAGGATTCTGAGTATAAAATTATTTAGATCAATGTGAGAAGGCGGCTTGCAGAGAGATAAGGATTGGCAATTTGAAGATTTAAATCTGTTACTCAGACATAATTTTCTATCAGCACCCATCTCCAATCTGACTTTTCTGTGGTTTAGAGGTTATATACATGCCTTACTTTAAAATTCACCTATAGAACCCTTAGGGGCTATCTTCATTTTCAAAGTATCTTTGTGGGTCTTCTAGACTAAATTCCCCCTTGGAGAAGGCCCGAGGGAAGGCTTACTTTAAATGACAAATTCTGTATTAGAAATACTTCAATACAAGGAACTTTTAGCATCCATCCTAATGGGGTCAATAGCGTCTTCATTCAGCAGGTGCAAGCTATTTTCCAATCTACTAGACTCACTAGATTAACATACAGGTTTGGATTTTAAATTTTCACTGCCATTTAAACAGGTGAATATTTAATGCCTGAGGAGCAAGGTTATGAAATGTCAAAACTACTAAGTGAAGGATCTAATTTAGGAGGCAGCCAGAGAGTCTGCAATTTAAATATTTAAAGATGATACAGACAGTACAAAACTGAACACCAATCTACTCCAAAGATAGCAATTTAAAACTCAGGTTTATTCTGAAAGTTCTCACAACTCTACAAGTGATGTAATAAACTAAGACAAGCAATATTGAAATTACTCCAGGGGAGAGGGGAGGAAGAGAAGCAGTGAGAACTAACAGGCAAATAAATGCTCTCACCAATGCCTTCTCAAATTGTTTTTCGCAAATGAGATCAGACTGGCCAAAACAGAGATAAAAATAGGTTTATCAAAGTAATTATGTCTCAAAAATGGAATACTTTGGAACACTCTTGTATTCCTTGTAGTTAAAAAACTCATTTCTTTATGAGCAGCTAAAACTAATTATACATTAAACATGTAAAGATGAGTAACATGTACTAAGGAGGATTACCAAAACACAAGTTAATCAAAATACACAGAATTAAAAGGGGTGAAAACATCTTTTGGGTAAGAACTGGCACTTCATTAAATGTGAAGTTTACTTTCAACAGAAGTCCATCTGAAGCACTTGTCTAAAAACAGAAATGCTTTCTTTCTCTGATTCATCAATGTAAAGATCAATGACAGTGACATTAATACTAACAGATTAAAGTGATATGGTCCATAAATGAACAAAGCAACTCCTTCTCTCTTAAACTAAGAATATTTGAAAATATCACTTACTAACAGGATCACCAATGAACAACTTATCATTTGCCAATTACTGACCCAGGACTATAAACATTAAACGTAAATATGAGAAACTTACCACTTTAAACGCTTTTAAAAAGCTCCCTTCAAAGTTTCCAACTGAAAGGAATGGACAAGATCATACATATGCCTATTTAAACTGCAAGTTAATTACTTTTCATACCAAAAAATGAAGTCTTGGTGGGAATGTCTAAAAAACGACTATCACTAAATAAACGTTAACTGTGGCTCATTGTGGCTTCATAGTCAACTGGTTACAATGCACGCTCCAGAAAAGCTCAAAAGTAACCTACCCAGAAAGTGCCACCTCTGACCACAAGTCAGCCACAGAACTTAAAATTCACCCTAAGAACAGACGTGTGCTTTGATAGGCTTCCAAATGCAAAACCCTAGCAGGAACATGTCTAAAAACACATCAAGCCATATGCATATCATAGTACAAGG